ACGCGCGCCGCGCCGACGCGGGCCGGCCCATTGCCGGCGCCGGGTTCCAGGATTGTGTCTTTGTCGACGACCTCATGTGTTGGAGGATATAGAGTGGTTGTCGCAGCAACCACGATATGATGGATGCACGTAAACGTTGCCAATCGCATGTGAATTCTCGCTGCATATCAAGTTCTGTTCGAAGCGAAAAGGAAAGCACGCGCATCCACATCCCAGACAAGCGCCGCCCGCACGAACTCCAAGATTTTAGGGTGTGTTTCTTTGACGCGCGTCGACAATGTCTCGCGCCATTCAGAAGTGCACCATGGAGGCAACCTGGAGATTAGGCGCTGCTGCGCACTGGCCTTGTTCTATTCTACGCGCGAGATGGTTCGATTGTATGAATGTCACAGACTGCCTTGCACTGAAGGTGCAACCGGTGCTGTGTTTCATGCTACGTTTTCTGCATTCAAACAGCTTGATGACGTGCAAAACGAGATCCTGCAACACGTTGAGTTGACGGATGAGCGCACTTTGTGCGTATCTTATTTGGGGCCCTTACCGACGAGAGGCGACATGTCCAGTCTAGGTTTGTTGTTTAAGGTCTCGATTGGTCAGGCTCCCCTGCTTTGTCCCCCCTGCTTCTTCCTGCCTCCGGCCTCCTTGAATCACGCGGCTTCGTGGGCAACCGGCGTTTGCGCAGCTGGGCCCTGAAAGACCGGATCGAGCCAGGCTTCTATCCCTTGCTCCAGAGATTCGATTTCGGTATGATAAGTGTTTTCAACCATCTCCAGCAGCACCTCATCAATTGCCGCGCTGTCGATATTTATATATATATATAAAAAAAAAAAAAAATGCAATTCCGGGCCAAAGAAGCTGCAAAATCTCACGACCAAACGTGGCAGTTCCTGCACGCCGCGCCTTGCCGCGTTCGCTGACCAAACGGACGGTGCGTTCGTAGAAAAAACGACGCCGACGACGACGACGCCAACGCCGACGACAACGACGACGACGACGACAACGGGTGCGACGACGGCGGCAACAACGATAACGACGTCGCCGCCGACGGACGACGTCGGCTACGACGACGTTGACGACAACGACGGTGACGACGACGACAATGATGACGACAACGACGACGACGACGACGGACGACGACGACGACGACGACGACGACGACGGACGACGACGACGACGACGACGGCGGAAACGACGACGACGACGACGACCACGACGGCGACGACGACGACGACGACGACGATGACGACGACGACGCCGACGCCCACGCCAGCGACGACGACGGCGACGACGACGGACAATGACGACGACGCCGACGACGACAAAAACAACGACGACGGTGGAAACGCCGCCGACGACGACGACGCCGGCGACGACGATGACGACGACGACGACAACGGCGACGACGACTGCAACGACGACGACGACGACAACGATAACGATGACGACGACGACGACGCCGACGACGACGTGGACGACGACGACGACGTCGCCGACGCCGACGCCGACGCCGACGCCGACGCCGACGTGACACGACGCCCACGCCGACGCCGTCGACGAAAACGACGAAAACGACGACCCCAACGACGACGACGGACGACGGCGCCGACGACGGCGCCGACGACGGCGCCGACGACGCCGACGCCGACGCCGACGCCAACGCTCACGCAGACGACGTTTACGACGACGACGATGATGATGACGATGACGACGACGACGACGACGACGACGACGACGGACGGCGATCACGCCGACGACGGCTACGACGACGACGACGACGACGGCTGCAACCACGGCGACGACGACGACGACGACGACGACGACGACGACGACGACGACGGCGACGGCGACGGCGATGACTACGACACGACGACGACGACGACGCCGACGCCGATGCCGACGACGACTACGACGACGACCACGATGACGAGGACGACCTACGACGACGACGACGACGACGATGGCTACGACGACGACGATGATGACGACGACGAGAACGGCGAAAACGAAGACGACGAAGACGACGACGCCGACGACGGACGACGGCGGGGACGACGCTGACGCCGACGACGACGACGACGATGGTGCCGACGCCGACGCCGACGATGACGACGACGACGACGATGACGACGACGACGACGACGACGACGACGACGACGACGACGACGACGACGACGACGGCTTCGACGACGACGGCGACGCCGACGACGACGGCGACGACGACGATGACGGTTACGACGACGACCACGATGACGATGACGACGTACGACGACGACGACGATGGCTACGACGACGACGACAACGACGACAACGATAGCGACGACGCGGCCGACGTACTACGACGAAGACGACGTTGACGATGACGGCGACGACGACGACAACACAGACGCCGACGCCGACGGTGAACGACGACGACGACGACGACGACGACGCCGATCACGACGAAAACGACGACGCCGACGCCGACGACGGGCAACGACGACAAACACGCCGACGACGACGACGACGACGACGACGACGACGACGACGACTCCGACGCCGACGCCGACGCCGACGCTCACGCCGACGACGGCTACGACGACGCCCACGATGACGACGACGACGTACGACGACGACGACGACGACGACGATGGCTACGACGACGACGATGATGACGACGACGACGATGATGGCGACGGCGGAAACGACGACGCCGACGACGACGACGCCGACGCCGACGCCGACGCCGTCGACGACGATGGCGACGACGACGAATGACGACAACGACGCCGACGACCAAAACGACGACGCCGACGACGGACGACGGACGACGGCGCCGACGACGACGCCGACGACAACGACGACGACGACGACGACGTCGACGCCGACGCCGACGCCGACGCCGACGCCGACGCTCACGCCGACGACGGTTACGACGACGACGCCGACGACGACGACGCCGACGCCGACGCCGGCGACGACGATGGCGACGACGGCGAACGACGACAACAACGCCGACGACGAAAACGACGTCGCCGACGACGGATGACGGACGACGGCGCCGACGACGGCGCCGACGACGACGTCGACGCCGACGCTGGCGACGACGACGACGACGCCGACGCCGACGCCGATGCCGACTCCGACGCTCACGCCGACGACGGCCACCACGACGACGACGAAGACGACGACGACGGATGACGATGACGACGGCGGCGCCGATGCCGACGCCGATGCCGACGCCGACATCTCCGACGACGGCGACGACCACGGAGGATTACAACGACGCCGACGACGACGAAAATGACGAAAACGACGACGACGACGACGGACGCCGACGACGACGACGACGACGACGGCTACGACGACGCCGGCTTCGACGCCGACGCCGACGATGATGACGACGACGACGCCGACGACGACGACGATGACGACGACGGCCGCCGACGACGACGACGATGGCAACGATAACGACGACACTACCGACGGATGACGTCGACGACGACGACGTTGACGACGACGACGACGACGCCGACGCCTACGAGGACGAGACACGACGCCGACGCAGACGACGACGCCGACGCCGACGACGACGACGACGACGACGACGACGACGACGACGACGACGGACGACGACGCCGACGATGGACGATGTCGCCGACGACGGCGACGACGCCGACGCCGACGCCGACGCTGATGCCGACGTCGACGCTCACGCTGACGACGGCGATGACGACGACGACGATGATGACGACGACGACGACGACGGATGACGCCGACGATGACGACGACGACGACGACGACGACGACGACGACGACGACGACGACGACGATGACGCCGACGGCGACGACGACGACGACGACGCTGACGCCGACGCCGAAGCCGACGTCGACGACGACGACGACGACGACGACGACGGCGACGACGAGGGACAACGACGCCGCCGACGGGCGAAGTCGGCACTGACGACGTTGACAACAATAACGACGATGACGCCGACGCGGAGACCGACGCTGTCGCTGATGCCGATGCCGACGCCGTCGATGACGAGACACGACGCCGACGCCGACGACGACGACGACGACGAAAACGAAAACGACGACGACGACGACGACGACGACGACAGCCGATCACGACGAAAACGACGACGCCGGCGACGACGACGACGACGCCGACGCCGATGCCGACGCCGACACTCACGCCGACGACGGCTACGACGACGACGACGACGACGACGACGACGACGGACGACGACGACGACGACGACGACGACGACGACGACGACGACGGAAGCGACCTCGTCGACGACGACGACGCCGACGACGACGACGACGACAACGCGACGACGACGACGACGGACGATCAGCCGCCGACGCCGACGGCGACGAGAACGACGATGGCGACGACGACGACGACGACGACCACGACGCCGACACCGATTCCGACGCCGACGCCGACGCTCACGTCGACGACGGCTACGACGACAAAGGTGATTACGACAACGATGCCGACGACGACGACGACGACGACGAGGACGACGACGTGGACGACGACGACGACGACGACGACGCCGATGCCGATGCCGACGCCGACGCTCACGCCGACGACGGCTACGACGACGACGACGCCGACGACCACAACGGCGACGACGACGACGACGACGACGATGACGACGAGGACCACGCCGACGACGACGACGACGACGTCGACGACGGCGACGACGACGACGGTGAAAACGACGCTGATGCCGACGATGGACGACGACTCCGACGACGGCGACGACAACGACGACGCCGACGCCGATACCGACGCCGACAATCACGCCGACGACGGCTACGACGACGACGACGACGACGACGACGACGACGACGACGACGACGACGACGACGACGACGACGACGACGGCGCGGACGACCACGATGCCGACGACGACGACGGCGACGACGGCGACGACGACGACGTCGACGACGCCGACGCCGACGACGACCACGACGACGGCGCTCAGTCTACAGCGGGCCCGCAGGCGCCGCCGTGCGACTTCGCGCGGCCCATCCGCAGCCACTTCGCCGAGCGCCGCGCGGCCGTCCTCGCGCGCGCGGGGCGCCTACAGAGCGGCGAGGACCACCTCTGGGGGGTGGTGCTGGGCTGCGAGGGCGGGCGGCGGGGAGGACTAGCCCTAAGTGGGGCCTGTCCCTCTGTCCCTCTACAGGAGGAGTGTCCAAACATAGTTGAAAAAAATAGTCTGTGGACGATTGTTGGATTGTTTTGGGCCATCCGGTGGTCCTGTTTGATTCTTGGGTTTACGCCGCACCGCCGACCCCTTAGGGGGCTCCTGGTAGGTCGCTCGGGTGCCTCCTGGCAGCACTTTTGAAGCCTTTTGGGGGCCGTTTTGGGGCCTCTTGAGGCCTCTGGTGGGCCTCTTGGAGCCTCTTGGGGGATTCTTGGGGACCTCTTGGGGTCTCCTGGAGGCTTCTTGGGGCCGAGGGCTCGAAATTTCCGTTCGGGTCCCCCGCCTGGGCCCCCTCCTGGAGCCGTCTTGGGGGCCTCTTGGGCCGTCTTGGGGCCTTCTTGGGCAGTCTTGGAGCCTTTTGGGGGGCATCCTGGGCCGTCTTGGGGCGATCTTGGAGGCCTCTTGGGCCGTCTTGGACGTTGTGAAAACCTCAGAGGCGAATGTGCTAAATCATACGTTTCCCAATGGGAATGGGACGATTTTTGCTTCTGGGGGCCCTCTGAGGACGCCTCCTGGGGCGTCTCGGGGGCCTCTTGGGCCGTCTGATCTTGGGCGTCTTGGAACGATCCATCGGCGACTCGGGGCCCTCTTGGTCCATCTTGTGGGCCTCTTGGGGCCCTCCATGGCCAGTCGTGAGGCCCGTGACGCGTTCAGCCACGGCCGGCTGGACCCCCCCCTTTCCAAACCGACCGGACCGGGCCCCGGGGGGAGGGGTTTGGGGAGGGGGAAGCATCTCACACGCCAATGGCCCCAAGGTGTCGGCGGGTTACTTTTTATTTGTCATCCAAAACCCCCCTGTAGGAGGACATGCCCGACCAAAGACAAGTCGCAGGGCGTTTTTTTACGTTTGACAGACTTAGACCAAGGGAGATCGTAACGTCCAAAACCTGTTCAAAAAATGATGACCTCCCCCTCCCCCCCCCATGGATCCCGACCGCCATGAGTTTGCCGCCGAACCATTATTGGGTTTAACCCTCCCCCCAGGAAAGATTCCACGGAGACATAATGATGCGATTGATAAGAATACACACCTGTGATTTCCCTAATCGTTGATTTCTGTTAGGTTTGGTAGGATTCTGGCTTCTTGGGGGCCTCCTTGGGAGTCTCCGCGGCAATTTAGACCCGCCGTGGTGCCATCATGGGGCCACTTGGAGGTATCTTTGGGGCCATCTTGAGCCATCTTGCGCCATCTTGGAGGCCATCTTAAGCACCTGGGGCCATCTCGGAGCCCCCTCTGCGGCCCTCTCGGCACCAGAAGGGGTGCGCAAGGGATGGTCCCCAAGTGCGTTTCTGTCCACGCCAAGGTCGCAGGGCAAGGCTGGCGCGGCGTTTTCTTTGCACCAGTGAGTGAGGGTGTGCATGGAGTGGTCCCTGAGCGCGGTCTCGATCCACTCCAGGTCGCGGGGCGTGTCAGGTGTAGCACGTTTGCGACCTAGAGAGGGTGCGCAGGGGGTGGTCCCTGAGCGCAGCCCCTATCCATGCCAAGTTCGCAGGGCGTGGCAGGCGTGGCATGACGCCAAAACGGAGTGCGCAGGATTCCGCCCCCCAGATTGATGATTTCACATGTTTTAGAAATTAACGTCACGATAGTGCGAAAACGAAGACATTGCCTTTAACCCTTCTTAGGCGCAGTGGCCTACATGTCAAGTTGCCGACACTTGTGGAAGTAAGATGTGCAAAGAGGAATAGGTAACGGGCGAGGTGCCCGCAAGGGCGTACAGTGACGAAATTCACGCCCAATGTTGGACACGATTTTAATGCTGGCCGCCTGCACGCGTAGTTCGGTTCCTCCCTGTTCGGTGCCATCTCCTTGCCATGTACAGACGCTATGGCTATATAGTCCCAGGGCACCCTCCTCCCCCTCATCGTTATGGGCCGAACGACTTCTGCTGTCTTTGACTCGTGCTGGAGCGCCCACGGCTTGCTCCATATTCCTTGGGGGGTCCTGGATGTACTTAGACATGCGCGGACTTACTTCGCCTTAAGGGGATCTGTAATGATGTGCCTGGCCTGGTCCCCGCAAGTCGATGTGAGAAAAAAACAATCCTTAGGGACCTCAATGACTCCGGAGACCCTGGACCCAGCACAGACCGACATGACAATGTTGCTTTCGACGAGCGTCCACTGGCGGACCCCCCCACCGTTCTACTTCTGCCGACTTCCGACTGCCCTCCGCTCGCTTTCGCCGAGGGCGCGGCGCGCCGAAGGCGATGCCCCTCCTCCCTCCTCCTCCTCCTCCTCCTCCTCCTACCTCCTCCTCCTCCTCCTACCTCCTCCTCCTCCTCCTCCTCCTCCTCCTCCTCCTCCTCCTCCTCCGCCTCCTCCTCCTCCTCTCTCCTTCCTCCTTCTCCTCTTCCTCCTCCTCCTCCTCCTCCTCCTCTCCTCCTCCTCCTTCTCCTCCTCCTCCTCCTCCTCCGCCTCCCTCCTCCCTCCCCCCTCCTCCCTCCTCCCTCCCCCCCTCCTGCCTCCTTCCTCCTGTTTCGCTCCCTCCTTCCTCCTCCCTCCTCCCTCCTCCTCGTCTCTCCTCCTCCCTCCCCTTCCCTCTCCCTCCCTCCTTCCACCCTCCACCCTCCTCCTCCTCCTCCTCTCTCCTCCCTCCTCTCTCCTTCCTCCTCCCTCCTCCCTCATCCGTCCTCCGTACCCCTCCTACCTCCTTCCTACTCCCTCCTCCTCTTTTTCCTCCTCCCTCTTCTCCTCCTCCTATTCCTCCTCCTCCTCTTCCTCCTCCTCCTTTTGATCATTATCATCATCATCATCAGCATCATCATCATCATCCTCATCATCATCATCATCATCATCATCAGCATCATCATCATCATCATCATCATCATCATCATCATCATCATCATCATCATCATCATCATCAGCATCCTCATAATGATCATCATCATCATCATCATCAGCATCAGCATCAGCATCAGCATCAGCATCAGCATCCTCCTCCTCCTGCTCCGTTTCCTCCTCCTCCACCTCCTCTTCCTGATCCGCCTGTCCTCTTCCTCCTCCTCCTCTTCCTCCTTCTCCTCCTCTTTCTCCTCCTCATCCTCCCTCCTCCTCCTCCTCCTCTTGCTCCGCCTCCTCCTCCTCCTCCTCTGCCTCTTCCTCCTCCTCCTCTCCCTCCTCCCCTGCTTTCCTCCCCTCCTCCTCCTCTTCCTCCTCCTCCCTCCTCCGCTTCCTCCTCCTCCTCCTCCTTCCCCTCCTCCTCCTCCTCCTCCTCCTCCTCCTCCTCCTCCTCCTCCTCCTCCTCCTCCTCCTCCTCCTCCTCCTCCTCCTCCTCTTCCTCCTCCTCCTCCTCCTCCGTCTCCTCCTCCTCTCCTCCTCCTCCTCCTCCTCATCCTCCTCCCGTCCTCCTCGTCCTCCTCCTCCTCCTTCTCCTCCTCTTTTCTCCTCCTCCTCCCTCCTCCTCCTCCTCCTCCTCTCCCTTTTCTCCTCCTCCTCCTCCTCGTTCTCCACCTCCTCCTCCTCCTCCTCCTCACTCCTCCTCCTCCTCCTCCTCCTCTCACCTCCTCCTTCTCCTCCTCCTCCTCCTCTCCTCCTCTCCCTCCTCGTCTCCTTCTCCTCCTCCTCCTCCTCCTTCTCTCCTCCTCCTCTCCTCCTCATTATTTCCTCCCTGTTCCTCCTCCCCCTCCTCCTCCTCCTCCTCCTCCTCCTCCTCCTCCTCCCCCCTCCCTCCCCTCCTCCTCCTCTTCTCCTCCTCCTCCTTCTCCTCCTCCTCCTTTTCCTCTCTCCGCCTTCCTCCTCCTCCTCCTCCTCCTCCGCCTCCTCCTCCTCCTCCTCCTCCTCATCCTCCCTTTCCTCCTTCTCCTCCTCATCCTCCCTTTCCTCCTCCTCCTCCTCCTCCTCCTCCTCCTCCTTGCTCATTCCGCATTCCTCCTTCCTTTTTCCTCCTCCCTTCTTCCTCCTCCATCCTCCTCCTTGTTCCTCGTTCCTCCTCTCCCTCTTCCTCCTGCCCCTCCTCTTTCTCCCTGCTCTTCTCCCTATCAGTGGCGCGAGAGGATGGTGGGTTGGATGGATGGATGGAGGGAGGAGGTGATTGAAGATGTCCGTGAGTTTGGGAGGGAGATCCAGATCGAGGTCTCCGCGTGTTGTGTTTATTTCCCAAGCATCTTGTGGTGTTGGGACCTCGTTTTGAAGAGACGTCGCCCCGCGTTCCTCCTCCTTCCTCCTCTCTCCTACCCTCCTCTCATCATCATCAGCATCATCATCGTCATCACCGTCGTCACCATCATCATCATCATCATCATCATCATCATCATCATCATCATCATCATCACCATCATCAACAATATCAGCATCATCAACATCATCACACGTTTCGTTGCCCCATAGGGAGCTCCACCGAAGGTCCCAATAGCGCGGTTGGCATGCGTCTCCCCCCCCCCCCAGTACAGCGTTTCGTGGCCCCACGGGGAGCGCCACCGAAGGTCCCCGTGGCGCAGTCCGCATGCGTCTCCCCCACCCAGTAAAGCGCTTCGTGGCCCCATAGGGTTCCGCCGAAGGTCCCAGTGGCACAGTCCGCATGCGTCCCCGCCACTCATTTCGGCCCACCCCTCACACGTTTCGTGGCCCCACAGGAGCTCCGCCGAAGGTCCCCGTGGCACAGTCCGCATGCGTCCCCGCCACTCATTTCGGCACACCCCTCACACGCGTCATGGCCCCATAGGAGCTCCGCCGAAGGTCCCAGTGGCACAGTCCGCATGCGCCCCCGGCACTTATTTCGGCGCACCACTCACACGTTTCGTGGCCCCCTAGGGGCTCTGCCGAAGATCCCAGTGGCACAGTCCGCATGCGTCCCCGCCACTCATTTCGGCCCACCCTTCACACGTTTCGTGACCTCATAGGGGACTCCGCCGCCGAAGGTCCCAGTGGCATAGTCCGCATGCGTCCCC